ATCTTACTCCTCCTCTTATAAAAATTATGAATGCGCTACCGGTTTATCGAGCAAAATAATAAAAAATTAATTTTTATCGTTATAATGTAATTTTTTTTTTTAAACAAATAAATTAACCTTAAATTTTGATGGTTATTTTTAAAATTATATAATTATTAATTTGATAACGTTAAATCCTTTTTTATTATGCAATCGAGTCGTATTTGAAGGATATCTGATTTCTTTATCATTTAAAAAATAAATATGTATAATATTCCTAAAGGCTAAAATCGTATAAATTTTACAAAATTATTAGTACTTATGAATCATGAATTACATGATGTGATTAATGTTTATTATTAATATAATAATATCATTAATTATAATCTAAAAAATGTATTCCATTACAGTGATTGAATATTATTTATGCTCTTTGCACATACGCGAGTGTTATTTACGTTAATTCATCTTTATCCATATCACATTGAAAATTATTTAAATTTTAGTTTTAATTATTTTATGATTGATACGCGTAAATGCGTAATAAAAGTTTTAATTTAAAAAGATAACATAATAATACAATCATAATTTAAAATAGTTATATTATAATATCATGTTGGTAATTAAATAAGACTGATTTTACGAGCTAATTATAAATTACAAATTATTGTTATAATTATTTATTGCCATCGTGAACTCATTATGAATATCACGTATAGTATTTTCAGTTATTTATTATTGATACAATAGTTATTAAATGTTTTAAACTTTTTTGCATTATTTTTTAGTGTTCTAACTAAAATGGTAAATAATTAATTACATTTCAATATTAATCATAGTATAGTTAATACAAGTAGTACCTAAACTAACGTCTGTGATTTAAAAATATATAATAAGTATATTATTAAAACTCGCTAATAAAAAATATATATCTTCTTAGCTGTTTTACATTTGTATTTGATCAAAATTATATTATTTTATGTTACGTACAATTACAATAATACATAATATTAAATCCATTTTAATATTTTATGTACCAAAATATAATAAATGATTTAATGGATTAAAAATTTGTGGATAAACCAAAATAAAGTTTTAAAAATAGAGCATTAATACTTTTTTTTTTTTTTTTTATTTAAAATAAGTTTAATCTTTAAATATAATATAAAATTACTATGTCTAATGATACTACTATGTGCAGTGATTTGATACTTTTGTTTAGTGAAGGTTATGATAAAATTAATTGCCTACACCAAATGACCCAGTATGCTGCTAAGTTATTTTTGAAGGGATGACATTGAACTTAAAGTGAGTAGTAACTATAGTAGAATAGTGACAACTAAAATAACAAAGTAGCTAGGTACAAATGTACAATACTACAATGTATATTTTTTATTCGTTTAAAATCGCCAACAAAAGTTGTGTAATACCTATAATATATTTTAGAACCTTTAAAAAGTGGTTCAAAAACGGTATTAATGTATTATAAGTATTATTACAATATCGTGCGATCTTATTGTTATGAATCGAAAATACATTTCTAATAATAATTAGTAGACAACTATATAGTATATAGGCGTGAGATATGTAATATATTATTAAGAACTCGGGGCTCCACTTAGCATTTAAAAGATTTAAAATTAATAAATTAAAAAGTAGAAACGGCAATAAATAATAGTAAATTATAAATTGTATAAATATTAACTATTAAGTACTTAGTACCGGGCTCGTACTCTAAGTGTTTAAGTTAAAAGTACCTGTATATATGTAAGTTATTGGAGATTAGTTCAGAGAATATAATAATTAATAAGTAAATAGTAATAAGAATAACTAATAATCATCATACATTAATAAATGATGTAATATTTCCGTTTTTCTCAATTACGTATTATTTTTATTCATTCGATCTTGATATACATTTATAGCTATTATAGTTTTATACTATATATATATCATATTTTAAAGAATAGCTTATATAACACGTTTATATGATAAAATACTTGTATAGCCTTAAATATGTGATTAAAATAAATCAAAATGAAGTAAAATTTCTATTTTATTTTTTATTTTTTAATAGCTATTAGTATTAAAACTATGATAGCTCAACAAATTACAAAAGGTGAAAAGAGAAGTATAATGTTTAAATATATAATTTATATATGTGTATGTTATCGTTATGAGCATTAGTTAATTGACTTATTGTTACCTTTTAACCCTCAAAAATATTGAAAAATATCAGTATGTTTTCTAAGAATTTTGTTATACAATTTATAAAAGTAAATATAATTTTCTTATATTTTAACAAGTACTATAAATTAAACATGAAATACTTTTTAATAAGTATACTAATTTATAAAATAAAATAACTACTAGGTAAAACTTTAATTAAAAATTATCTTTGTAAATAATTGTCATACTCAAAAATAACAGTTAAATTAATATTGTAACCTATATTTATGTGAATTAATTTTAAATACCTAATCAAATATTTAATTTCATACTATATTGTATATTATGGAAATTTTCTCAATGTTTACAAATCGAAATAAACAGTATATAATGTGTAATAAACGTCAAGATGTCGTAATATATTGGGTTGATTTCAATAAAACTGCGAATAAAAATGTTAAATAATTTTTTTCATTCACATTGAAATATCCAGGTATCTAAAAATACTTTGGTTTTTATTATGGATTACTATTATTTATATTTTGAATATTTTAGGATTAATAATTATAATTTAGAGGTACTTTCATATTTATTTATTAACATAAAAACATCTTTGATTGGTCGAGTGCAAGACGATAATAATTTTTATTTCCAAGCTTTGTGTCACGTTTTAATTGTTATCATCTTAAGAATGAAAAATTAATTTTACTTGTACAAAAAATATATTTTGTAAAGATGATGCGGTGGTTGTTAGTTAAGTTAGGGTTTAAGTATCATATTGGTTATGACGCATGTAGGTATAGTATAAACAGTCAAAAGACTCGAAAGTTGAATTCTGTTCATACAATTTGCAATTGAGTAGATCGACAAAAAGTGTCATTGAACATCGGTCGAGTAAGTGGAACATGCTATCTGCTATAAAATTGTAACATGATGATATGATTGGTTATTTTATGACCGTCTGTTTTATTGATTATAATACGTTACTACGTTAGGTATTTAGAATTATATACTACGTCAACGCATTTTCCACCGTAAATAATATTATAGCTATTATGTAAAACATAAAGTCATATATTATACATGTACTTAATATATATACTTGTATATTTAAACTGTATAGGACTTTGAAGTGCAAGTGTTGGTAGATACACATGATAAGTAACGGAGAAAAAAATAGATTGTTAGGTACACACAGATAACTTAGCTAAAGTATCATAACTATCATTGTTATATTTAGATTAATTTCTGTTTACACTATACGTCTATACAGTATATAGCATAGGTATAACACCTGCACACAGTAAAAACCTATAAAACATTATTACTTTATAGTTATAGGCGTTACGGCGTATATGATCGTTCATTTGATCACTATAGAAAAACTAAGTCGTGTAATACCGTAGTTTCGCGAGATCAACCATCATATTATTATTGTTTTTCCCAAACAGTAGGTACGTCATATTATTATATTATAAATACATAAAATAATCGATGTTGAGAAATCGGAATAATAACCAACAAATACGCGTGTAACAATAATGTTTTTACGGAACGGAAAATAATTCGAACATTTTTCATAATTTACCGATATGCTTTGATGCAATTATAATAAAACGTAATGACGGTGTGGTATACATATACAATATGCAAATAATATAATATACCATAACGTGTCATATTGTGAGCCTACTGCCTACGGTTCGTTCGTACGCATGTTAGTTTTGCTATCACGTCACGACGCTACTCATCGAACTTCATGGTAGGTTTAATGTTTACTTAATAACGTCGATATTCATTTATATTAGCTAAATTTCTAGGTTTGTCAGTGCGCAGTTTTGAACTAAAATTCAATCATTTGTATTGTTAGTATAATATATACTATAATTTAATAACTTAGTAATAAAAAAAATTGTGAAATTATTTAAATGGTTCGTCGAAAAACCATAACATTTAAGTATAATACTTTTCTTCCCCTACTCACATCAGATTAAAAAAATGGGTTACGCGGAGAAAATCAAGAAATTATTTGGAACAACTTTGTAAAAAAAAAAATCGTAAAAAGTTCAATAGTGTCGTCAAAAACTCGACACGTAAATAAGGCCTGTTCTTTTACATAATATATATTATAAATGGATTTAAAATACAAAAATATTTACGCGTTTGAAATGATTATATATAGTATTTTATATTCGGTACGCGTAAGATAAGCTTGTGACAAACCGCTCGGGAAAGACGTAGAACACGTCGAGCAATTCGTAAGACTTCGGTAAAATCGCAGTGGCATAGGTACTTCGCCTACCCCCGACCACAAGTGATTTTCGCACAGATTTTAAATGCTAACATGACCACGTCGTTTCACAGTGAAATGAGCGAAATAATTCACGACTGTATAGTCGAAAGTCGAAGTTCAAACAACACGCCGCATAACACTGCGTACGTGTGCGGGACTACGTGATTATTACGAGCGATACCGTTCGCGATTTATGTGGGGGTATGTCTACAACACCGGTCGCCTGGTCGAAATTTCGGACCGGAGTCCGCGGGGAAAAAAAAATCGCCAAAAGCCGGTCGAACCGCCCCACCGATTTGCGACGATGTCGCGAAAAACGAAAATCGCGCGCGCACCCACACACACACACACACACACAACACCTCATCGTTTTCGGCCGGCAGAGGATGAGTCACAGTCACCGTCGCGACCGCGTCGACGCACCCGCCGGCACGCCGTTTGATTTTGAACACTACCGGGCACCGGGTGGCGCATTTGGCGCAAATAATTCGTTCGGCCGCTACCGGCAGCAGCACAAGCGGCCCCCAAACTGTATCGGTTCGCCCGGCCGAATTATTAAATCCGTATCGCACACGGAGGGATCCGACACCGCCGCCGCCGCCGCCGCCGCCGCGACTCGGGACCGCCTCGGTACGATATCGCTGTATCGGCAGTACGCTGTACGAGTTTTCTCGCGTCTTCCGCCGCCAGCGCCTCCATTCGCGTTCGCGTCGCCGTCACCGCCAAAAGAATTGCACTCGCGTCCTCTTCTCTCGCCGTGACGCGTTCTAACGTCGTCGTGCAATTTTTCCTGTTTTCCTCTCCACATTAAATTTATTGGATATCGTGTTTTCTATCCGCATTCGTCGCACGTAGTCCGCGAATAAGTCTGTGTCTGTCTGTGTGTGTGTGTGTGCGCGTGTGCGCGCATCGTATATCCGTCGTCGTCCGGTCCGGTGGTGGTGGTGTCCTGTCGCACGCACCCCGTTCCCAACGGGAAATCCGTCGTCGTCGTCGTTGTGTGATGAACGTCGTAGTTTTCCAGGGTGTACGTCGTCACAGGTACGTGCGGATGTGTTGTTTATTTTGTCTCGCGCGAGCAAAACCACCCGAGTCGTCCACCGGCCGGTGAGCGAGCGAACCCGTGTGCGCGCGCGCGTCCGGCCGACCGACCGTACACGTGATACGGACGACTTGTAGCCGCCCGCCGCTGTTAGTAGAGCCTAGTGATGGGAATAATCGAATGATTTCGATAATCGAGAGATTAGTAATCGAGATATTATAATAATCGAGTAATTCACTCGATTATTTTAATCGAGAGAATGGTCACTATTATATAGTGATAGTCGCTAGTCCGATAACAAATGTACGATACAACTGATACAACATATAAATTAAATTGAAATATAGTATATTATACCAAAATAATATATATATATGGTAAGAATTATTATTTATAATAGATATAAATAATAATAGAAACCATTTCCTTAACAATTCCAGATAGTACAGATTAATAATAAAGTATAGTTATACTACGCCGCGGGCCGCGGCCGCCTGGGTATTTTTAAATATGTATTAGTTATTATTATATTATAATATTAGTGAATAGTAGATTAGTAGATAAGAATGATTACTGCCTACTGGTTCAGTGTTCGAAATTCGAATAGCTATACCAACTACTATAAAGTAACTATAAACTAGTTATTATAAAAATAGTAATTACTAATAAGTAACTACTAACTACTAATTTTTCATTCGATTATTTTTGACCGAGCAATTCGATAATTTTTCTAATAATCGAGTAATCGATTATTTTCTAATAATCGAGTACTCGATTATTTTCTCTCGATTGCTCCCATCACTAGTAGAGCCTACAACAAGTGTTCGGCCGCCGCTTGTGCCGTGGCTCTCGTGCTGCGACCTTGGGCACGTGTTCGCTATTTTACGGCATGTGTGTCGAGCGAGTTGCGGCTGCGGCGGCGGTCTCCGTCGTAGGTGCCCCCGATCGTTATGCCGTGTTATGATAAGGAAATGGAAAACACGTTATAACGACTATAGTATTTTTATCTCTTTGGATTTTCTCTCCCTTATCGCCCCTCCGCGCAGATTGAATTCCGAGTTGTCGAATGCTTCTCTCTTTTTTTTTCCTCTTTTAAATTTTTAATCGATCCTCAAGGTTTTCTTGTTGGCATCACCTCACCCTATCACTTGTCCGCCAATCACCATTTTCTGGCCACCTGATGATTTTTGTCGTCCTCGCGTGCCGTACGCTCCGCAGGGCCACGAACGTACCCCCGTAAAACATGAATATATTTGAATTCACGTTGAATATCATTGAATTGTTTGATTTTCGAAACGATTTCGTGACGAGCAGAGTTTATAGTTCGTCTGTCGATAACTCTCTGCAGTCACTAGTTCCCGCGCAACGAATATCCCTTAATAATAATAATAATAATAACTATAAGTCTTATATGTTATTAAAATTGAAGGAGGGTTGGAGTCCAGAAAAATTGGAAAGCGAAATAAGGAGGGGATGGCAGAGTGTTATGGTCTCAGTTAAAATATTTTTACATAAATGGATTAATTATTATTAAATATAATAGATATTTTTAAAATTGTACAATAATAATGAAGTTGACAATATTATTCAAAGTACACTTTTATCCATAAAATCTGAGTTGGCTTCAAATAATTATGGCATAGAGCTTAAGTTTCCCTCCCCCCCAGAGTTATGTCTATGTGTACTTCTTTATGCCTACATTTTTTATAAAACCAGCAAAATGTGCAGCCTACATATTGTCTGATATTTGCCATTCTAATATTTTTCTGTTGCTGCTTAGAAACTAGTTGGTTATTGGTGTAAACAAAATCAGTACTAATCGTTATCACTCATATTTGTTGTGATTATTTGTTTAATTCTTGTTTAATTTTAATTTTCATGAATTTAACATTGTGAAAAATATCTAAGAAAATTATACATATTTTACCAAACCAGATTTTAATCATAAGATAATTCAATTTTTATTTTTTACTCTTAATTTATCTTCAATAATTAAAAGAGACTTCGCAGTTGGGACAATATACAATTGAATATTTTTTATATATAAATACAATATATAATTTATTTAATATAGATATCAGTATAACAGTATATTAAATAGTTGTTATGTAATTAATAATTAGTTTTATCTAAAACCAATTATATTTCTCGGAATGTATTTTTAAATATGATGATGTGTTAAACATTAATGTTACCAAGCAGCAATTACTTTTTATTTAAAATAATCATAACAAATTAATAATTTGTAAAAAAAGGATTAAATTCTGACACGAATGTTAAAAATAATTTTAATACCTTAGGTTTTTGTTTTAATTAAAAATAATTTTATAAAACTAAATAGTTTATGCTTAAAGACAATTTTTTCTTTGTATTTGTTCATAATAAATAACTTAACTAAATAAAAACTTGTTTAATAATTACATACTGCATAATTCATGAGTTCAGGATGTAGAGCTGTTAGTTTATAATTAAATATTTAAAATATTGAGATATTAATTGTCAATAACTATTAAACTTTGTCCTTATATTCTGTAAATTGTATAACTTATATTTTAGTATACTAGCCACTAGGTAGGTATTTAAATAGATTAATAAAATGATTTAAATTCATATTTAATTTTAATTTTATCAATGAATAAAAAAATTGACAAACTTTATTTATTATACTTTTATCTAATATAAGTTATAACACTCAAAGAATAATTAATTTATTAAATACCTAAATAATAAATGTTATAAGAAAATTAATTTAAAATCTGAAATTAAATACTATTTAACATACCTATTTAGTTAAATCTATTTTTTTTTATAGCATACATGATGTTTTATTTTATTTTTATTCAAATTTTATATTATTAACAGATAATCAAATCAAACTATGGACGAATCAAAAGAAATTACTAATGATGGGGCAACTCTTCTTACCCAACAAAATAGAAAACAACATAATCAAGCAATTGTGTGGCGCAATGTCATATTGTTTGGTTACCTTCATTTGGCTGCACTTTATGGTGTGCTACTAATGTTTACCTCTGCTAAAATTGCTACAACTATTTTTGGTATGTTCAACAACCTACATATTAAATATAACTTAGTTATTGAATATATTTTTTTTTCATTTAGCAATATTGATGTATCAAGTATCTTCAATTGGCATTACAGCTGGAGCTCATAGACTTTGGTCACATCGGGCCTATAAAGCCAAATGGCCATTACGTGTGATATTAATTATATTCAATACAATAGCTTTTCAGGTATTTATTATTATTATTATTAACTATTACTTATTATAAATAAGTATTAAAAAGGAAAAATTAAATTATTTTTTACTCTTAAAAATTGTTTTGAATCATTTTCATCATCATTGATTTGAAATTTGAATTAATATAATTTATTTTTCTCTTAGTTAGCTGGATATTTTAATAAATGGAGACATATTCAATTAAAACATAATGTAAATTAAACCAAAAAAAATACAAATAAGATAATTATTTAGTGCATAATTTAAAAAAATACTAAAACAAAATATAATTTTTATAAGTTAAATAAACTCAACTCTACATAGCATAATTAATGTAGTATTAAGTATGAACTTAGCTTTAATCTAGTAATAGATTACATGTTAATATTAAATATTAATCATTTTAATTTTGTTTAAAACATTATATAAATATGTTTTATTTAATATTATTAAAAGATTTATTAATTTAGATCAGAGGTATAAAAACTGCGTCGCAGCTACTAGGGGCATGTTGTTTGTGTCAGTGAATGGAGTCGTGGCAAAAAACTGGAAAATAAAACTAATGTAATAGTGTAGCGGTTATAGATTCGTTAATGAAATACACACGATTAGTTGAATGAATATTAATATGTGTATAAATATAAGTATTAAGTATAGTTTATAATCATTTGAGCGATTATTGAAGCGATAATAAAACACACACGACCAGTTAAACGTATATTAATATTAATATAGTTGATATACTATCAAATATTTTCTATATTACCTATTTATTTGTAAATTGATTAATACAGTCGTATGATTAATAAATTAATGTTAGTACATAATAATATAACCATTATTTTTTTGTCATTACAAATTTGGGAACTGTCAAAGTATTGTAAAGACAATAAGAAGCCGTGGGATGAAATAGTTTGAATACCTCTGGTTTAGATAATTTAAATAAAATATTAGTTGTTAACTTTGTTTATAATACATACAAAGCAATAAATTATTTTCTTGAATTTAATGATGAACTTACCTAAACTTGTTATTAATAATACATTTTTTCAATGTAATTTGATAAATTTGGTAGATCTTAGTTGTAAACAACAATTATTTATGTTTTTAGTTCCATAAATTTATTAAAAATTATTGATTTTATTTAAAAATATTTAATTAAATTAAATTTGAGATATCCATAGATGCTTTAAAAAAATTGAAGGTACTATTGTCTGTAATAAAATAACATATTAACCATTGACACTGGTTGTAAGTCATTTTACGTTGTTTTATTAGGTTTTGGTTTTTATTGTTTTACTTAAACCTGTTTTTTTTATCTCAAATCATTTTCAAACTCTCTATTAGTTTAAACCTGGGTTTTTATTAGAATTATCTCATTATTTATTTGGAAATAAAATATAAATAACCGATTCTTAAATATATTGTAATATATTAAGCAATGGGTTCATTGTCTTGTGGTTTTTGCTAAAAAATTCTTAAAAGTTCATTATTATTTATTAAAGAATATTTGTATAGGTATGTAGATTAGGTGATGATTCTATATTATTTATCTTCAGTTCACTAAGTTTTAAATATAAATAAAACAATTCTTTTTCATTTTTTAATTAATTTATTTTAGACTGTATTTTATGTCGGTGAAAGTGCTCATCTTTAACAGATTAGGCACAGAATATGGAATATTTAAATATAAGTATGTCCTTTTAATCATTTTTAGTAATAAATGAGTGAATTAGAGCCAATAGTGAATTTCTAAATTATTCGCGTATAAAACGTGTCTTATACTTATTGCATTTATTTTATTATCTTTAGTAATAGTACTAAATACCTGTACCTATATACAAATTAATTAAATTATCATTCATTATGGTTACTACTTTGTTAACATATCTTTCATGTATATATATTGCTTATTAAAATATTAATATTTTAATTGGAAACTGATTGCTTCTACTATAGTTAAAAGTATTTATGTAAATTTTATTTATATGCTTACTTTAGTTGTTTGTTTACATCTCGTCAAATAAATATTTTTGACTGTAAATAACAAAAAATTAAAATATAACCCTTTGATGAGTCGATGAGTCCCATTGCGTGTTTATATAGATTGTTTCAGAGAGTATATGTTTTTTATTAAACAATGGTATCTATTATTTAATAAAAAATTTTATTTTTTGTGAACAATTTATTACTATAAAAAAAAAATATATATATATATATTTTTAGGATAGCCCAAAATGGTACTAAAATATTTAATCTGACGTATATAGTTGTAATATCAATAGCCTTTAATTAAAATAAAAATTTAGCGATATTCAATTTTTTTAGTCTATGACTCTTCATAATGTCAGATTTCTGATAATTCTTTTATGATAATACTAATTATTTTATGTATGGTGATTTCCAGATTGAGAACCACTGCTTTATAAATAGCAGAACCCAACTTAGGGAGGGGGGCTAGGGGAACTGCAGCCCCGGGCCCCGAATCCCGATATGATTTAGGGCCCTGAGTCCCTGTTGATATTTAATTATTAAAGTGGCACTGTGAAATTTTATGATATTATTGTTTACGTAGTTTTGTTTTTCACGTGTTGTAATGGAATTTATGATTATTCTATTATCAATAAAATAAGCTAGATATTAAGTTTTAAGATAAATTTGATCAAAAGCACTTTATCATTATGATTAAGTTAGCATTGAGTATAGAAATATCACGGGTTTTCTGTTTTTACGAGTGCTCAGGTTTTTTCTAAATACGGGTATAAAACAAATTTAAAATTAGAACTAATTGAAAACGCTAGAAGAACGTCCCTTCATCAAGAAAAATTAAACTCACTCGTTCATCTATCTTTATCTGCTGAAAAGAAAAGAATTAACTAACACACTTGATTTTTCAAATCTAATTAAAAAGTTTAGTGAACTAAAATATAGAAAAAAACTGTTGTCTTAAATTCTAAATAATGTACATTTTTTTTATTATTTACATTGACGATGTTGAAAATTGCATTACCACTTTGACTTTGTATATAATGTACATGATGTATATCAGTAACTGTATCTACACTTCTTCACTTATTTTTATATTTTTAATTTGATAATTTTATTTATATTAATCATCATTAAATGATTACTTATAGACTTATGATATAATTTATTTATAATCTTATAAAATAAATTGAATATAAAAATCTGTATAGTTGATAATTTAGAATTTAGATAATAATTAATTTTTAGGGCCCCATCAAAAACTTAGACCCGGGCCCCAAAATTCCTAAATTGGGTTCTGATAAATAGTAATAAGAAAAAATTATTAATTTACATCATTACTCTTCAAAGGGTTAATAGTTTCTAATATTTGTTTCATTTTTTTAAATTACAATTAAATATTATACATTCAATAAAACACATGCATACATTAAAAATCTACAAATCAAAGAAATTTGCTTACATCTTTAACAAAGTATATATATATTTTTAAATTAAGTTATATATTTAACTTAATTTAATTAAACATTATAATTCAAATAAAAATTATTAACTCTATTGTTTTGTTTTTTTTTTTAACGTAGTTAGATTATTTAAATAATATTTGTACAATATAGTTTTTCTCAATAGTAACATTTTACTAAATTTATTATTTTGCTTTATTTCAGTTTTTCATTTTAGAATTGTTGTATTTATAATATAACGAATATTTTAAATTATAAAATTATCTGTAGTTGTTAGTTATTCACAAATATTTTATTAAATTATGCATATCATGCAAAATTTTTTTGTTTGGAGTTTTAACGATATGTTTATATTTTAGAACCATGTGTATGAATGGGCTCGTGATCATAGACTACACCATAAATACAGTGAAACAAATGCTGACCCGCATAATGCAAACAGAGGATTTTTTTTTTCTCATGTTGGTTGGTTATTATGCCGAAAACACCCAGAAATTATGGAAAAAGGACGTGGTATTGACATGAATGATTTACTAGCTGATCCAATTGTTTCCTTCCAAAAAAAGTAATGTTTTTATTATAGTTTAACTGTCATAAAATTATTATGCACTATATTTGTATAAAAACTGTTTAGTTCTTAAATTTAGCTGATTTTGTATTTATGATTGAGTATTTGCTTCAGTACTACTTTTTAATATTCCAGTCCTAGTTTTTTGGCTAGCTATTTTAAGGTGTGATATTAACTCCCTTACCTTTTAAACTGTCTTAACATAAAAATCTCATTGTTTAATTCTTATATCAACTTTTCTTTTCTTACGAGTATTCCTGTGTACGTTACTTACTAAGTGGTTAACTAACCTTTTTGTTAGAATGATATGCATTGCCAATGACAGTTCATCATTTTGGATGAAATAATATAGTTTTATTATATTGAATGTGGTTCAACCTTTTGTAATTGGCGAGCCAATTTATAATGTTTAAGTTGTTACATTACAGATTGATTATGATGTTTAAGTATGATGATAAGATTACTTAAAATTATTGAATTTTAAAAAAAGGGTAAACAAAAAAAAAAAAAGACTGTAGGCTGGTTGGTTCAATCACCTGTATTATGTTATAAAAATTATTAAATTATTTTATGTAATATTAGATCATATTAGATACCTTTAAGTTAAACTTTAGGTTTTAATATGCTTATAACTTTGGACAGCAGTCTATATTATTGAACATAAATATTAATTATTATTAATTAAAAATTACAGATATTACAAGTTCCTGATGCCATTGTTGTGCTTCATATTACCAACAATGTTACCTGTGTATTGTTGGGGCGAAAGTTGGACAAATTCTTGGTTTGTGGCCACTATGTTTCGGTATACTTTCTCGCTTAATGTCACATGGTTAGTAAATAGTGCTGCACATATGTGGGGTGGAAGACCATATGACAGGTAATGGTTTAAGTTATTGTAATTTTTAAAATTTATCAAGTAACATTGAACTTTTTATAACTCTATATTTTATTATTTATTTTAGGTTTATAAATCCCTCGGAAAACATAACTGTAGCTTTATTGGCATTGGGAGAGGGTTGGCACAACTATCACCATGTATTCCCGTGGGATTACAAGGCAGCAGAATTGGGTGATTATAAACTCAATATGACAACTGCATTCATTGATTTCTTTGCGAAAATTGGATGGGCATACGACCTGAAAACTGTATCAGCCGATACAGTACGTAAGCGTGTGGAGCGTACTGGCATAAATAGTGGAGAAGATACTCAATCATCATGGGGTTGGGACGACAAAGATTTGCCACAATCTGATCGTGAAGCTGCTACAATTATTAACAAGCAAGGATAATTAACTTAAACAAAAAAATATATTTAAGTTTGTATTATGTATCAGTGAACTATATTCTGAGTGCTACCGTGTGTATTATGTTGTATATATTAATATTATGTTTACCACGATTAAAGTTTATTTGTTTATACATAATCATTATGGTTTATATTTTATAGCAGCCATAAATTGTTGTAGTATTATATGGTAACAATATCTGGTATTTTTTTTTATAGATTAAAATATAATTTACTTGTTGTCAACAAGCAAAATTCATTCATCAGCAAAATAATTGATCGTTTCAAATTCATGACAATTGCTGCATTGTTTATTTGATGTGATTTAAGTTTCATTATTTGTAATTATTGATAATTGTCTTTGGTTTTTAGACTATTATTTTGATGATTAAGTCACAATTATTTAAATTAATTATGTACACTGATACAGTGTGTCCCTTCCAAAACCTACTAATTTAAAGTATTGGAGTCATTTTTAGATGTTTATTTAAGATATTAATTACTCGTATCACATTAAATTACATCCTGTATATTATGATAATACTTCTTAATTGGTTAAACTATTCTAAATCTCAATTAGGAATATATTTTACGTACCATGATTCAAAACGATCTAATACAAATATCTTAATCATGATAACAATTCAAATATATTTAATTATAAATTAGGTTTAAATTTTGTACAGACTTTTTTTTTAAATTATAAAGAAGATTCATATTGATATAAGTTTATATTAAAACAAATATTACTATAACAATAGAAAAAAAAAAAATTATGAAAATCGTATAAAGTCTTGAGGTTTGTAAATAATTCTGTTGGTTATGTACAATAACTATACTTATTATCATTGTTTAATTTATTTTAAGATCATGATAATAATTTAATGTATGTAAATGTAGTGGTACTTGATGCTCAGGTAGGGAGAATAATTTTCATTATTGAGTTCACATTTACAGGATTGATTGAAATGAATACTAGTAATAACATACAACTTATTCGCACTTGGTGTTTATTTTCACTTTAAAACACAACATTTTAATATTAACATGATTAAAATAACTAAAGAAAAAAAAATCATTATAGTACAAAGAGATTGGAAATACACGTATATAATTTATATAAATACAATAATATAAATTTAAAATAACAAGTTACATTTTATAATAATAAGGCTAGGCGCCCGAAGGTATAAACTATAAAAAAAACATTACTATTTTTTTTTAATCATCTTTTTTATTAATGACAGTTGTTAATTTTCGATCTTCAGTGGAGATGTTAGAATCATCCCATCCCCAAATTCCATCTCCATCAGGGTGAGAACCATCTCCGGTCCTATTGGCTCGTTTTAAAATCATCTCATTTGAGACAGTTTTCATATCATATGCCCAACCAATGAGTGAGAAAAAGTCTATAAATGCAGTTGTCAGGTTTGCTCTGTAATTTCCAAGTTCAGCCGCCTTGTAATCCCATGGGAACACATGATGATAATTGTGCCATCCTTCGCCTAAAGCTCCAAGAGACACAGATAGATTTTCAGAGGGATTAATAGATCTAAAAAAGAAAAAAGAAAATATCAAAGATAGGAACTAATAGAAGTAAATATTAATAACTTACGCGTCATATGGGCGTTTACCCCAGATGTGAGCGGCACTGTTGACTAACCATGTCATGTTTAAAGTGAAAATATAACGCAACATCGTTGAAGTGAAAAATGCATTGACATATGTTTCTTTCCAAAAATAAACAGGTATTATTGTAGGAAGGATAAAGCAAAACAATAATAGTAATGGAACATAAAATCTGAAACAAATAATTTTCAATTTTCAATTATCATACATCACAATATATTTATTATTTAATTTTAAATCCAGTTATTAAGAATTGAATCTTACGTTTTTTGAAACATAACAATAGAATCTTTTTTTAAATCAGACATATCAATTTTCAAGCATTTGTCGTAGTAATCAGGGTGTCTACGAACTACAAGCCACCCAACATGTGAGAAAAAAAATCCTCTCTTAGCATTATGCGGATCTGAATTTGTATCTGTGTACTTGTGATGTATTCGGTGATCCATGCACCACTCGTAAATATGATTCTAAAAATTAAAAATTAAAACATACTAAGAAAGATAATTTTTTTTATATTTTTTCTATTAAAATAATATTAACCTCGAATGCCATGGTACTCATCAACATTAAAATAAATCGTAAAGGCCATTTTGCTTTGTATGATTTATGTGACCATAAACGATGAAGTCCAGCTGTCACACCTAATCCTGATAATATCCATGAACATAATCCTAAACATTTAATTTATATATATTATTGTAATAAATAAAATAATTAACTGTAAGTATTATGCAATCTACTATTAATTTATTCAATAAGAACTTAAATTATTTAAATATCAAAATTTTTGTACATAAATAATATTTACAAACAGTAATTTATTATACCTGTAATTTATCTTAAATTACATTTGAGTGAAATAAGTCTTAAGATGACACGGAAAACAATATTATGCTTCACTAACACTTAAAAGGTACATAAATTATTACTGTAATTTAGGAATAATTAAAAATTTTTTTATTCAATTTAAATGAAATAATTATTTCAAACCTTACATTATATTTATTTTCTATATTAGACAGAAAAAAAAATTTGAACCTAATAATTAAAAACTTTAAAAAATAGTATTTAAATATACAATATATATTTACCAAATAATGTTGTGAGTAATTTAGTTGATGTAAATGCTAAGTATAATCCATAAATAGCTGATAAATGACCAACAACAAAGAATAATACAATTCCCCAAATTATTTTAATCTTAACTGGTTCGAGAGAATTTGAATTATCGATTCTGTCTTGTTTATTTTTGTCCACTGAATTGAGATCGGTCTAAAGTAAAAAAAATAGTATTAAAAAACTACTCAACACTCAACATAATATAGGTATTATTATGTAGAAAAAAAAACTGGAAACGAAAACACGTAGAAAAAATTAACCAAGATACCATTTTCAAAAATGTAAAATAATAATTTTTTTTTAACGAAACAATTCACCTCCATCATTGAGTTGATCGCGGTGTCCACGTCTCCGGAGGATTCCATTTCTGAAGCAGTGTTCATTTTCTCACTGGTTACGGCGAATTCACCTGGACTAATGATGAGTTGAGTACCGCGATTGATTTTATATACCTTTAAGAAGTTCGGAAATTAAGAATATTCAGATTACAGTTGGGTCAAAGGTGGGCTGTCGGCAGACAATACGCATCTTTGGAACGTAGACGAAAATAATAAGATAATAATATTAACTCCATACAGCAGCTGTCGCACTGTCATAGTCCAAACACTGTAAACTGGTCTCATACTCTGATGCAATGCGCAGTGAGTCACTACCTCGCGTTATTATACTACATTTTATTTATAAAATATATGATGCATTTTCTTTAGCGGTCAGTCCGATAATATAGTTCCACCAGTATCACATTTAACTAATTAGCTTCCTACAACCGTTTATTCAGGTAATTTCCGTTATTCTTTTGATCACGTTCGGAGTTTGCACTTTAAAATATTTTCACGACTGCCCGAATTATGATCATTGCTTTTATATCACATATTCATATCAAATTTTATAATTATTTTTTTATTATGTAAATACTAGATAGTAGGTACCTATTAAATTGTTAATATTAATTGTTATAACATCGTAATTCGTTGGACACACTTCTCCGAGAGTTGAGTTAGCGCATCATATTTAGAGTTTAGACTAAATTATACTCCGTTTATCATGGTGAATAGTCGTAGTGTATAACTCCAACAGTATGACTCAATATAGTATGTAATAAACATTTTTATTTTAATATTAATGTACCTATGCCCTATGAAAGTACGGCAATAACGCAGTATGCAGAATGGTACGGTGAACAACATAACAAACCGTATCACGCACTGGCGATCGGAATGCCGGATGGTGGACCTGTTGGATGTTATTGTTGATGCCTCGGTGTCATAACCACAGTTAAAGATTATTTATTATCCAGCTTCGTGTTGTGAAGTAATCGAATAAGTTGGTATCAATGCAGCGGCGATTCGGAAAATACAGTTATCTGCTATTCTATATTTTTTGATTTTCTTAAATTGTAGGTATTCGTTTTTACTTTCTATCATAGGTGTAACTACCCAGACAAATTTCGTCTCGTACAAATTTAATATTTACAGTACTGAGTACACGTAATATATTAAATAGACGTAATAATAATATGTACCTAATATGCAATTACCTATCAATAAATAATAATAACAATACATAACAATATCATATATTATACAAAAAAATATTACTCGAAAACAAGTAAAAATGTTCAAAATAAATATAATGATTTGTCTTAATAAAACAATACCTACCAAATCAATTATAATTTAGCTGAAATTATTTTCAGAAGTATCTTAAGTTCTAAACATTGTACTTATTTTTTAAAAATGTAACATGCCTAACGTGAAACGCACAAATAATATTATAGTGTTTCGTTTATATTTTGTTATTCATTTTGCTCATCTTAAAAATGGTCTCGATTATAATAGTTCAGACACTACTGGTATACATGTTAAAACTAAACCGTCTAAACCTATTGTACCATTTTGACACCAGAACGTTTATAGGCAATTTTTTACTTCCATACATTGTGATATATCATGGCAAAAAATATCGACGTCGATAAAGTAATCGAAAATGTTTAAAAAATGGTTCCATAATCTCGTTGTTTAGTTTTATAAATATTCTCTGATATTTTTAAAGTATTCTCTTGATTTAAGTAATATTAAAATGCATTAATTATACCACTTTAAAAAAGTATATTTTTTCGTTTGAATTTTAGTTATTTTTAAATTTAAAAATACTATACAAATATAACAGCACATAGGTAATATGTTCAATCAAAAAAATTCGGATTTCGGTTTTAAGCAGAGGAAAGTAGTGAACTGTAAGTACTCATATATATATATATACATTATTACTTTTATTCTTAAATAAAAATTCGTAGATTTTTTATACAAATACACAAAAGTGTGTGTAAATACAACAAATTAATTAATTAAAAAAAAAAATAAATAATAATAATAATATTAAGAATTATTCAACTCCAACTACCACAGTTTATAAATACGTATCTAAATTGATCAGGAAAAGTGGCCCAGTCTAAAAAAATCTCTAGTTCCTTCTATGTTTTCTATCCTTTATTTATTAAAACTATTTCGCGATAAGTCCTTAATTCGTAACAGGGGAAGAAATGTGGAAAATCTATGAGTTAACTTATTTAAATAATAAAATTTTTATGTTTTGATGGACGATAGTATAATAATTGTGTATTTATATAATATAAATTAAAGCTCTGAAGAATAGTTTTGTGCTGAAGCAGATTAAAATAAAAGGATTTGTTTTCATTATAAATAATAGTATTAAATTATTAAAAACTTAAATTATAATAAATATCCATTATCTTGAGATCTGTAAATACCTACCTATATAGCGTTCACCATTAATATTTTTTGATTTTTTTCATTAATTTAAGAAACTGATCTAAAAAAAATTATCATATTTACTTCGAATTTAAAATTATTAATTATATTTTCTAAATATTTCCTTGATCTATGTCACATCAAGTATGAAGTGTATTTTTATTAAAATTAATCTAAGTATTTTAGGTAAAAAATATCAATCTATATTAGATTTAAACGTGAATTTGTAGTAGGTTGTTTAGAACAAATTGTCACTTAATCATTGTCCACTCTTTGATTGTAAAGGAACTATTTCTGTAGGTTAGTGACAATCACTATTTTTTTTTTTTTTTTTATAAATGTATTATTGTTATATGATTTATTTAATTATTTAAAATCTAAATGATAATATTTAAGTGTAGTGGTGGTTACAGTAGATAGAGTCGTAGATCAGTATATAAAGAAATGATCATGTTCACACTTAAAGACTTAAGAGAACTAAGTTAAGGCTCGAATTGTGGTATTTGGACAACATTCCAAAAATTTGCGATTTATAGTTTCTAATGTTGTGTTTATAAAAATAATATTAAAGTGAATTGACCTATTATCTAACTAATAGGTATAAACAGTGGTACCGGTCATATAAATGTAAGTGAAGCAAAATCAAAATATTTACTCACCTAGAATTACTCACTAAGAATGTTGTCTACCTCTAAACTAATAACTTAAGTTATTCATTTAATCATTCAGTATAGGTACTATGAATTGTAAAAACAAAAACACATATACAAATAAAACCACCCACCCTCTTTATTATATGAAGCGATCGCTTCAGTTCATGTATAGGTTCGGCTTCATTGGGTACAAACATTACTTGTACTTATTGTTTTGTTGGTTTTTATAACATATTAGTTTTTAAGCGAGTAATGAAGGTTGTTACATTTTCATATTTAAATTATCTGTGACTTGTTTAAAAATTAAAATATTGTAAAATAACAAGTAACAGCGAGAGAACGTTGATATCATTTTTATCTTTAAGTTTGATAATAAGTAAATTTACTATAATTTTTCAGCCAATAACGCAAAATTAAAAATTAACTGTAACAGCTTGACGAATAAAGAATTATATGTTTAAAAAAATTATTTACGCTTATAAAAAAATATTGAGAATAAAATTTTGATATTTTTGCAATTGAAAAATTAAAAATGTATGAGGAGCTTTGAACTCAAAGTTCATTATTCAAAAACATATAAAAATGTTGTTATTACTTATTGTCTATTGTTATTACATATTAATTATTATTTTATTATTATGCACAAAAAAAAAAAAAATATATAAAAATACATTAAAAAAAAATATTGTATTACTGAAAAATAAAATATGGCACGTTACCGGATGATATTTGTCGTTTTATTGAACTGAAAAAATAGTTCAAAAATATATTTTCATTATTTGTAATAGGAAATAAATATATGTTTTATAATACCTATGAAGTTATAGCATTATACCATAAATATTTTCTTTAGATTTTCAATTTTAAATGCCCGACGATTATTTGACAGTAGATTTTTATAACAAGAAAAAATTTCAACATCAGTTGACATCCATAGAAGTATACTTGTTAAACTTTAAGTCATTGCCTGTTAAATCTTCCGGCAGTTCGTCCATTGATTCGCTATCTCCTGTTAATATCATAAACATTTTTGTTTTAAGTCCATGGTTATTTTTCATTACATTTTTTAATTCTTGCTGAATATAGCCATTCCTACTTCACTAGTTACTTCTTTTTTCTTTAATATGTATAAAAGTATTAGATGAATGTTTTAATTTGTATCATTTTTGTTGGTAAAAAATCGTAGTTTGAATTTATAAAAATCAAATTTGGTTCATTGAACAATGGTTAAAAATCATTTGTGAGTTTTTTATTAATATAGTGTCATTTGGATCAAGCTGTCTTATTAAATTACAACTTTGTTTAAAATATTTGCTTTATTAATATTATGTGGTCTCAATCTAAGTCTCCCAATGAGTAAAAGTTGGCTCTGGAGAAAGAGGTATTCCAGGATTTATTGTTTTAAATAATAAAGTTCATGAAGAGGATTTAAAAAAATCTGTTTTACATTTGTCACTAGTTTATCCACTTTAGGGTAATTTATACTGACTTGTTCTACAACTTTATACAATCCGTGCGCCAAGCATGTTACATGTATTATTTTAAGATAGACAACTCTATTAGTAGTGTCTGCGTTTTTTATATTAGGTGCTGAATTGGAAAAAAATACTAATACATGATTGTGATGTATACCGTTAGGAAATAATAAAAACATGGCATTATCAAATCATTTTGTGATGACGGAGAAATTAGCCTTTTCAAGTAGGTACTTCCGTTGACAGAAGAAAAATTTTCCCTAGCCCATCAGACAATAAAACTCCTACAATTACGTTTGTGATATACCTTCTTCCATGTTAGTTTTGTAGATTGAAGCTCATATTTTTGCTCTGTTTATGTTGCCTTATTTCAATCATACATCCGTTGACCGTCGTAGCAGTCATCAATGTATATGTTTTTCTTAAAGAAGTTTCAATATGTACAGTATTAAGCGTGTACTTTTCAAGAAACTTTCGGATTCTGTGTTAGACATTTTATCATTTTATCAATAGCAATATTATTGCTGCCTTATACAAATTTTTAGAAAAATCCAACTTTTTATTACATGTAGATGACTTATCGGCTTTTTGACGAGTTGCTAATATTTCATGTTTATTTGTGTTTAAATGCTGTACGACTGTACATTTTTTTCCTGCAATTCACTTTTACTAAAAATGTCAATTGTGTTCAATATGAATACCTACGGATCCTATTCTCGGTAAGATAATATTTTAGCGTTTTAGCGCGATAAAGATTAAATGCGAAGCACACTGTCGTAATATACTTATTATTTATAAGTTTATGATCTAAATCAAAAATTTGAATACGAAGTTTCTTAGTTACTTAGTTATTAAAATGTCTATACTGAAGATATTAGTACTTAATAATGGTTTTACAAAAATATGAATTATAATATGCTATATTAGATCTAATACTTCAGCAAAGGTGGGTAAATGAATGAAAATACGTAGTTCAAATTTAGTTAAGTTAAAAAAGTACAAGATCGATAAGTTAGAAGTTAATCGTTAAAAAATTATAAATTTAACTCGATAAGTTAACATTTAATATAGAAAATAATAATAACTTAACTTAATTTAAAAAAAGTTAATCAATTTTTTTTTTTAAGAAGTACGTAAATAACAT